GTTGCATTATTTATAACGTCTCTTTTATGAGTTATTCGGCATTGAATGATTTGTAAAGGGGAGAAGAGGTACAGTATATAACCAGATAAGTAATATCTAGTTTGTATTTATTCATATTTATGACTATACATTCAGTTTCTTGCTCCTTTTCATCTCTGCTGCAGGCTTAGTATTCCTGCTCAGTGGGATGAACCATCAATGACTTAAGCCTTATTCATTTATGGATCCAGAGTGCTGCATCAAAGTATCAAATCCTGCAAATATGGGTAAAACTCAAAGGCTTTAATTCTTGAACTGTCAATTTTCATTGTGTTACTGCCAGATGGCAGTGCTGGAGTTTGATTCAACGTATAAATCTCGCAGGTGCTGTTAACAGGGTAGGTTGGTCGATTGTTTCTCAAGGAAAAAACATGAATGTGTGTGTGGCACCAAGTTATAAGAACAGGGCCAGATGCTGATCTAGCTTACACCTGGCCTGCTCGGGAAAAATTTTGCTGACTTCGGTCAAATTACACCCGTATAAGACTGGTAGGGCAGGAGACATTTTGTTATTAGTCTCATGAAAGGACATCTGATAATGATCATATCAATAAATTGTGTTGACTTTTTTAAACAACGGCCCTTTGAACATGCACTCATGTTGCAATATGACCTAATTTAAGAACATTTTGTAATAAACGTGTTTTTAGGAACTAAAAGACATGGGGGTGAGTGGGAAGTCAGGACGTTTAGAAAGCTCTCTGCTGTGCAGAAACAGGTTGAAGGGTCTAAAGTTTCTCAACAGAGATCATCTTTTGATATCTTCTCTATCAGTTCTCTACACATTCCAATTTCAGTTTTATAACACCCCTCACTGTGCAAGTCTTGGCAGAAAACTTGCCCATCTTGCAGAGCCTTGCATGAATAATTCATTTAAGTGTCGTGCTGATTCTCAGAGGTTGGAATCCTTCTTTGGAGGAAGTGTTTAATAAGATTCTTCCAAATAACACAAAATATAGCTTTGTGTGAATTTTATGTGGGACTCTCTCTTAAAACGTTCGGTGCAATGAAGGATTTAATGAACTGAAACCCAAAACATATGGTAGCCCATTCTACCTATTTGTTCGTTAGGCTGAAGGATGGAGATGAAGCTGCTTAATTGGGGTCAGAGTGTCATGTGTGTCACATCTGAGGATGTAGACAGAAGTTTGTGAAATTGGATGCAATTCCAATTTGCTTTCTTGTATTAGTATCTTCATTTTGATTATGCTAAGTGACAATGGAAAAATCAAGCAGAGAAATAAGCACAGAAGCACTTCTACTTCTTTTCACTTTGACTAAAAATATCATAAACCTTCTGTAAAACACTTGCTCTTGAAGATTCCCAGTGTAGAGCATCCCAGATGTTTTGAATGGCAAGACTCTTACTAACCCATGCCCACTTCATAAACCTGTCACCTTAGATTCTCTCTGGAGAAAGAGTGAGTCCAGTGCAGGTTTAAATGATTGATAAACTAATCCTTAGAACAGTGGTTTTTTTGTGGGGGGCTGTTCCCCTTGAAAAAGAACCTCTTAATGTTTCTTTAGAGACTACTGGAGTTCACTTTTCTCTTAGACGAAACCAAGATGATGGCTGGGAATAGAATAACTTTGGGGGATACGATCATGGAGTTCTCAAAGGAAATCCTCCAGATTTTTTTTTAAAGAGTTCATCATTTATTTCAAAGACACTAACACTTCCCTGTGGATAGGCGTTTACTTAAAAAACACAAACTCAGGTCAATAAAGTGTAGTGTCTCAGAGACCTAGCTAGTGTTCCCAGGAGCACTGTTCAGTGGGTGTGTTTACATGAGACATTTACTGCACATTAAACTAATTAGCTGTGCAATAAATGTTGTGTGCCCCTATTAGGATGGAGTAAACTAATTTACTCTGCAGCAGGATAATATAATAAATACAAGTCCTATCCTGCTGTGGAGTAAAAAACTCTACATCAGCAGGTGTAGACACCAAGGGTGCGTGAAGTGAGCCATATTCAATTCAGATTTGGCCCAAATTGGGGGACAGTGAGTCGATTCATTGATTCGGATCAATGAGTCCGAACCTGAAGATTCAATACTGATTCAGAGAATCAGCGATTCGGCCATAGACACAGCTTTAAATGTTTTTTCTACATACCTCAAGGTACCAGGTGCAGCTCATGAATGCTGAGATGTTGGGTCAGATGGAGCATCCCACAAGAATGGGGGGGGGGTTCCAGCCCATTTCTGGGTCTGCCACTGAGCACAGTGATCAGCTGGGGGGACCCCGGGTGTCCCCCCAGACCCACCCAGGAGGCACCAGTCTCTAAACTGGGGGGTGGGGGGAGGTCCCCCCGGTGGAGGTGCTTTTGGTCAACTTTCGGGTCTGATGCCCCCCCCCCCGTACTCCTGTGGGTCGCCTCATCCACCCCACCATCCCAGCATTCATGAGCTGCCTGGTACCCTGAGATATGTAGAAACAACATTAAAAGCTCTGTCTATGTCCAAATCATTGACTCTCTCTGAATCTCTCCAAATCGATTCAGAGAATTCCAATTCAATTTTGGAAAGATTAAAAGGTCTCCTGATTTGATTTGGATTTCAGAGATTCGACTGCTGAATTGGGCCAAATCTCTGCTAAATTGAATCAGTGACTGAAGCTTTGCACAGCCCTAGTAGACACTGCCCAGCTAGCTGGGGCATGAGAGTGCTTCAGGGCAGGGGCTGCCTGCTGGCTAGCCCCTGCATTGAAGCACCATCATGCCCTAGCCAGCCTCTCCACAGCACATTAAGCCAGGTCAGAGCAGCCCTAGGCTGGCTGGATGACCAGATCCCTGCCAGCCAGGGCTGCTTCAACCCAGCTGAATGTGCTGTGATCCCAAGTGCACATGTAAACACGTGCCCAGGAGCAATGAACTCTGGAGCAATAAGCACCAGTTTATTGCACTGCATTAACATTCACATGTAAATGCTCCCAGTGTATATTTCTCAGCTGTGTATTTGGAGCTAAGCAGGTTTTTCATGCATCTGAGGGAATAAAAGGACGGTGTCTACAGTGTAGCTTGTGGCATTGTACTTTGGTACATACTGTGTTCTTATCACCATCAAGGACCACAACCCCAATGCAGTGTGGCCACTTTGTGTCATTCAACTTTTATAACTGTTTAATTCAAATTAACCAAGCCAAGGACTAACCATTTAAGTGTGATCCTTCAGTAGTGTGGCCCTGAGTGTCAGGTCTACCCTGCTTTTCTACATGTACAATGACAAAAGGAAGGCAAGGTGATAGCACTATGATGCCATGTTGTTTATACACTCTCGTCTTTTTTCTGTGGCCTTTCAACACTGATGGAAATTAGGACAACTCCCACATTTCTCAGATTCAGGGGGCTTCTTCCATGCCTGCAGAGCCTTCAAGGATGGGGTTGTACCATGGTGAGCTTTAAGGAAGTTTCAGACAAAACCCTTTGTTTTGCATTCTCTTGGCCAATCATTGAAAGGTATAAAACAGCATTAGTTTTAATGGCACTTCAATGCAAATTAAAAGGAAGTGGGGGTGTGGCTTTGTGTGGGGGTAGGGATTGGGGGAGGAGGTTTGCTATCCTCAGGGATCTGGCCTATTTTATGGACAAACTTGTAGTTTGACGGACTATAAGACTTGTACATTCATTTCTGTTGAAATATCCTCCTACACCAATATTGCTCCTCACAGTGCCTTCCAGGGATCTTACTTAAAGATTATAGGGGTGTTCAGTGGTCTGCTGTGTATATGAAGTGATCTTCATAAAGTGGATGTAAGAGCATTGAACTCCCTAGACTAGCTAGTGTTTTTTTCTAGTTGTCATTTAGCTGAAATTAATATTGTAATTGCTTTCTCCGGAGACTACAGAACTGTATGCACTCTCATTTTTGGAAAGAAATATGGATGATGGGTGACTAATGCTGCTTAGTTAGGCAATTTTAATAAATACAGTATGTGTCAATCTTCTTTCCATCTGACAGAGAAACAGCTCCTGATTTCATGCAGTCTCTTCCTTCAGGGGATTCTGTCTTGGAGTCTGCTATAATAGGGAGCATTATGGGTTTTGACTTCCTTGGCAGATTTCACCCTTCCTTTGCACATATCCTTCCAATTTTCACATACCTTCTTTGGGGATAAGGGACACATTGTCCCTTAGAAATAAAACAGAAGAAGAACTTTTTAACTTCTCAGAACAAACTTTGAAACACTATTGCAGGGCTTCATTCTTTGGCTTGTTAGTGAAGAAAAAAAATAAAAGGAAGCCTTCAGAAAGCTAATTATGTTGTTCATCTTAGTTGCATTCAAACCCACAGAACGTCCATTGATTTATATCAGCTATGGATCTCTTCTTAAGTGCTTAGAGAATTTAGATTTGATAAGTCTGGAAGTTTTTCTCCCCCCACCGATACTGTCACAGTTGATGGATTCAAGCAAAATATTTAGAAAGCCACATTCTGACAGGACTGCAAAAGATTCTGATTCTTACAGCAGCCTCTTATTTTAATTTTAGAGGGAGAAAAATACACATGAATGAGAGCATTCCCCAAGGAGGCTCCTCATACAAATAAGCAGTTCCCTCTTCCTCCCTTCTTTGGTGCAAACTTGCCTTCAGTTATTATATATATTAAAAAAAAGTCAACTTCACCATGTCAGTTTGAGGGTTAAGCTCCCATACTGAGATCTGACAGGCTGGCAAGCGTGGCATGGACAGGGACAATGACATAACTTCAAACAAAAAAATCATTTGGGCTCGTTCGCTTTGCAAAGAGCCCAGCTCGTTCTGAACACCTCGTCAGCCCAAGAGAATGGCCTGGGGAATGGCTGCAAGGTGAAACTCTTGCCATTCCCCCATTGCTATGATTGTCCCATCCACCTGGCCTTCCTCCTCCTGGTTTGGTGTCTGCATATTTGCTTTTTTGAGTCCATGTCCTCTCCCCGCTGCGAATTCCCTCAGTTCTAGTGCAGATGTTACTACCAGCCCAGCCCCAGGCTTGCCTTGTGCGCCCCTGCAGAAAGCAAAGCATGCGCTTGAAATGCCTGAACTGCCTCTGAACAGACTCCTCATTAATGAGCACACATTTGTGTCAGTGGCACTGCTGGCCTAATGAGTCTGAATTGCAGGCCAGGTAGGAAATGTGACTCTTAACTCCTGTTCCTTGTCCTCAGTGAAATGGATATCTTCCAGCTGGGGATGAAGAGCAACAGCCTGGACCTTAAAATCCATCCTCTCCACTAAGACCCTTACTATGGCTAAAGCCTGGTGGGTCTGATGAAAGTACCCGAGTTACTTTGTAAAGGAGCCTGTAAGTTCATGCAGGAAAACGCTTTTGCAGCCAAAATAAGTCATCTTATCGTTTTACAGTGAGTTCTTTGGTCCTGCTGAAGCCTAGAAACTCCACTGGCATCCATGGGACCCTGATTTAATTCCTAGTGTTCAGGGTGTGATGCAGTCAAAATGCAGCCCCCCTCTCTGAAGATGAAGGGGATGTCAACTGCAATGGAGCCATCCCACAGCCGTGACCCCATGCAGAGGAAGAAGAGTTGCACATGCTCTCCCTGGGGGCCTGTGCACATTTCAGGGATCTTGGCACCACGGTGTGAAAGGTTATTCACACAGATGTTGCAAACTGGCCCCTCACCATCTCTATTGGGTACTGTAATTATGCCACGGAGATCTGTGCCTGTGGACGAAAGGACCAGTCTTCTCTCTCTCTCTCTCTCTACCGTATTAGGAATGAGACCTCCTGCCATACATTTTAAAGGGAGCTGAGCAATTGTCAGCCAATGTTGTTAACAAGTAGCTGAATTTGTGTGCTCACGGAGCAGGCCCCGCACCAGAGATTTATGACATCCCCTTTTCAAGCTGTGGTGCTGCTGTTGTTTTACAATTAGAGATGTGCCGGCATTAAAAACACCTGCTATCCACGTCGGCCCATAGTTGCCAAAATCCTCTGTCTCTTTCTGCCAAGCAGCACCTTGCCAGCAGTAAGGTTGCACTTAAATGTTAGCTCCCAAAGGTGATGCTGGCAGACAAGATGCATTTGGTGCCACTGAATCAGCGCTAGCACTGACATTTCAATTAGAAAATTCGGGAGACTTGTGAGGAGGCGGCACTTGGAGGCGATCGAAGAGGCAGGAAATAAATTGTCTCACAAAAAAGGTTGATTTCCTGAGGATTCCCAAGATCTAGCCTTGAAAACATTGCAGGCACTGGGCTTCATGACTAAGCTGCTCTCACGGTCGTAGATGAGCCACTTCATTCAAACACGCTTGGCTCCACATCTTGTGATTCTCTTTGACCAATAAGATGAAATTTGAATGCAATTTTGGGCTATAAATAATTTTAATTTGAAACAAATTGAAGACAGACGCTGGCTCTGTATTGGCTATAAGATTAACTGTATCACGTACAAGAGAGAGAGAACATCAAGAGAGTGAAATTAAAAATATCTTTTACTTATTGCAAATAGCACCAATTTCTATTCTGCCTCAAATGCCCTCACAATTCATTTTCTTCATGGCATGTTATCTTTTTTCTTTTAAAGCTATTATTCTTTTCCTGCAGTAATGCCCAGAGCCTTCAGTAAGGGTTAGGGATTATGCTAAGTGCTATACAAGAATGAAGCGATAATTTATACATATTTTTGTGCTATTTAAAATTATTCTAAACAGATGAAGTAATGGTCAGCTGTCCTCTTCTGTTTCTCGACCTGGCTGCTGTTAATTGTCTCATCATTCGCCGTGCATCTAAATTTTAATAAAGCAGAAAGTTGAGTTGTGCCAACCTACTAGAAATACTGCAAGACTGTAGTGATCTGGAAAATGAAAATATTAATGAGTAGCAGGAGCATTTACCCTTTCTCTGTCTTCTAACTAAATGTGAGGTACCTTTGGGATACCTGAGGATTCAGTTGGTGTAAGGAGGTATAAGAAGGACTCAGCTTTGAACAGTGTAATGTGGTATTGATAACAGGGCAGAATGGATTATGTAGCTTTGTGCTACAGGGCTTTGTGACATCATAAAATGAAGTGATGTATCATAAGGAATGATATGCTAGTCTGAAAACACCCAGCCAGAGCCTATATTTACTAACCATCAGGGAAGAAAACTTACACACACACACACACACACACACACACACACACACACACACACACACACACACACACACACACACACACACACACACACACACACACACA